TAATTGTGTGATATAAAAATTTATTGATTATTAAGTTTATCATTTTTTAATTTATATTACTCAAATTTTGATTAAAATAACTTCATCTAATATTATCTAATTTTAATTTAAAGATTGTAGCAGCTCTAATGATAGATAAGATTAGAGAGTCCGTCTTGGATGGTTTGATCACATAAAATGCTGTTCTTCAGATAATCTAGTTAGGAGAGTAGATATATTAGATCTAATCTATATTAAGAAAAATAGTGATTAAAAATATTAGAAATAATCTTTTTTATTAGATTTAATAAGAAAATTTGATTCTTAATAATGAGAGATTATTTTGTGCGGTGTCCGAACATCCAGAGGCTAATCCGGACACGCCACGTCATCCAATGCACTGTGCATTATGTGACGTGGAGCGTCCGGTCACCACATGTAATAATTTTTCCTTAATAGAATATAATGGAGAAAAATAATGCATATAGCCGACCTCATGTAATGGGATAAAGGCTTGAAGTTATTATTGTTGTATAATTTAATTAGAATTAAAAAATGATAATTAGCTACTAATTAATCACTCTTGAACTCTTACATAGCCCGATAATAGGCGGTAGATTGGCAAGACCAGCGTAGCTGATTCCCTGTTTTGCATTAAAATCTTCAGCCATCAAAGAATGGAAAATTATTCTGTGCGGAATCCGTACGTGTTCGAAGGCGAATTGGGGCGCTCCACATCACTAGAGCCCAATGCATCCGATGATATGGCGCGCCCCAATTCAATTTAGAACACGTTTGGATTCCGCACAGAATAATCTCTCTCGAAGAATAGACATTGAACAACATAAAATAAGCTATACGAACTCTCTGACTTGCCTGTGGAATGGCTAGACTGGCTATTGTGAGGCCAGAGACAAGATCAGCCTTGAGAAGGGAGAAGCTGTAAGTGGGAGCCCATTCAAGTATGGGGAAGAGAAACTGAGCTCCGAGTAACCATTTGGTGGCTGGAGGCTTGCCGTTGAAGCGGCGAAAAGGGTCGTCGGGGAAGAAGGTCTCCTTCATTCTTGTCTTCAACTTTGCGCAAGTGCTTTGAGGTGGAGGGAGAGGTACTCGGCGTGGCGATGAATCTATCGTAACCATTATCAGCTCCACGTCG